CAAAGTAGATTTCTTGTGACTTGACATCCCGCCCCTCCTTAGAATAGTGTCTAAGGAACTTCGCAATAGTCAGTCAGAACTGAAGAAGAACTGAGAAGTGACACGTCTTTAAGAAACCTACTACGTCCAGCTGCCCTCGATGTAACTAGAATAGGCCAGGGATAATACCTCTGAATTAATCTTTGTTGTGTTTTGAACAAATAGTAATATAGCATATTTATCCCCAGCTATCATTTAGGTCTGCATGAAAAATTTGGTGCAACCGGAACCAGTTTGTTTTATCCCTTTAATGGTAGTTACCACAGCAGTTAATCTGTATAGTGACTTAAAAATGGTCAACCTCCCATGGGAACTTTGACCGACCCCTAGATCCTGGCTACAACGAAAATGCGTGAAGTGGTAAACAGCACAAGGTGTTAGGGTGTGGTGAGATTGTGTACACAAATGAGGAAAGCTGCACCACATACATTTGACAAAGGAGTGGCAGTCTGGCTGTTTTTGTTTCTTGGTTTTATACTAGGCTAAATTGCATTTGTTTCTTTTTTGCATATCACAATGGAACATAAGAAAATCACTATTTGTTGGGAAATATACGTTGAGAGTTTTCTTTGTCCCTTTCTCTGTGCCGATAGTATGAAAAAATAGTACAGAAATATATAAAAACCTCATACTAAATGTAGATTTTTTTTTTTCATTTTAGAAATGCAGAAATAAATGACATTTGACCACAAAAGTTAAATTGAATTTTAAAAATATTTGAAGTCATAACTTGATGTACAACAATGTGGAAGTTGTTTGCCAGTTAAACATGACTCAGGTGGCTGCCACACCCGATTGGTAATCAGAGTGCAAACATAAACAGTTCCTTCATGTAACCAACATAGTTCGCATGATCTCTGACAGGTGTGCAGGATATTTACAGTAGAAGTGTGTTTTGAACACAGCTAATGTGACATTTACCTTTTAAAACCTTTGTAAAAAATTTTGTGGTCCACTGTTTTTCATTGGCTGTTGGCAAAACCTGTTTAACGTTGGGTGGCTCATCATTCACCCCTCCCAATTTCTTCAAGATCTGGCCTCAAGAAAATGAAACATGTTTGAATGACTGTGACTGAGGCCATATCAAGTCTGGTCCTGTACATACTTGTGTCATTGTCTTTTCCTGTCACACACAAAACTGATTTGCTGCCAACAAGCCATGCTGACTGTCCTCAACTAGTGCAGTCCAGTGCAGACTTTGGCCAACTGCCTGAGCTTTAAAAGGAAGAGAGGATAGACAAAGATAGTAGGTCCATTGTTGCACTGCATTCAAATACAGATATATTTGATTATTATGATTATCGGTGTTATCATTGCAGTAACTAGACTATAGTCAACAATACTCATAAATGACATGGATAAGATAATCAATAGTTAACTGATAATTTAGTATGAATGTAGTTAATGATAACGTTGTAATTTAAGTTGAACGTAGTTCATGCCTAATAAAACACAGTCTTTTACACAGAGCAGGTCTATTATTGTGTAGTTCCGTTATTTCCGGTAATGTGTCCTTCCTCACATGCATTTTTAGCACCATAATTTCTGGCTCTCTAACTATAGTCCTGCAGAGCACCTGTTCAGTGCGACTGTGGTGCAGAGCTCTTTTCTTCCGCTTCTGTTTAGGGGTTTTTCTAAAAATAGCACCTGAGAAGGACAGTATATAGCTGGCAGGCTGGGGAAACAAGGGAGCAAAAGAAAATTGGCTGCTGGTGTATTCAGTCGACGCGTGGGGGAATGTTAGTCAGAGGGTTTTCGACTCTTTTATTCCCTTCCTTATTTTGTTTTGTCATTGCTGTGGACAACACCAAAGGGAACAAAAATATATTAAGCATCTGCGATTCATGATCAACAGATTGCACTGCTACAAAATGAAGTATTTGCAAGTATAGATTTACTTTATCTAAATCTGCCATAAAATGGAACCATTAAATCCTTGTTTGAAGAAAAAAAAATGTTTTAAGTGTTGTTGATGCTCCTGGGGGCAGTGGGCTGTAAGGGATTACCAGGTGTTCCTTTGGAAAGTATGTAATAAAATATTGTTGTTGTTTTTTTTTTCACAAATCACAATTATTTGTCTGTGCGACACTGAGATGCATACTCTTCAACTAGATGTATTTTAACCAATGCAACAATAAAACAAGAGATGTAATAGGTCAAGCAAGTGTAACCCATGTCCCATTGTTTGGCAGCACTTCCTGTTTACATACCAGATTGCTGGGGTGGGAGGGCAGTCTCTGCTGTTCCTGACTCAAAGCAGTATCTTTCAGCTTCCGAGTGAGTCATACATTCAGCCTAGTGTTGTTAGAAGTCAGTGTATTAATGAGCATAATATTTTCTGAGACACAAAAATGGCAAAATTGCTTCTGCTGTGGTAACTGTTGTTCTACTTGGCTGAACAACAAATTAGATAACTTACAGTGCAACCTTAGGTGACCACACAGAAATTTCTTCAATGTGCTGCTTGGCTGAGATAAGTGAATTTGTTTTATCTCCACTGGCACTGACCCAGACCCATTGTCTCCACACCTTTGCGGTGCATCCTTTACACCTCCTATGTCGCTGAGCATGCACATCTTAATGTTTAATATTAATTAATTGTAGCATTTTACACTTGTTGCTGATTGTTTGCATCAAACGAACAATACAAGTTGTGTTCTCCGTTTTAGTCAGAACAGATGCTCCTATAGTTTCCTGTAGAGTGATGAAATCATGGTCTCTTTTATGAAAGATGCCCCGGCGCTTTGCTGCACTGTGTGTCGGGTACAAGGAATAAAATGGCCATTTCTTGTGCCACCAACCACAGCGAGGGTTTTAAATTTAGACCAATCACTGGCTCACTACGAGCACATACCGTGACAGCTGCTAATGCATATCTGTTTTTCTGTGTCTCTTCTCTAGTCTTTTTTTGTTTCAGTTGCTTGGTTTGTATTATTTCAAATGCGCAGTCATTCAGTGAATCTTGTGTTAACCCTAGTTGTGCACAGCTTGCTGTAGTCAGGAGCTGTGCACACACACACACACACACCAGATTATAATTATAGAAAAATGTGGCCATTATCTCTGTCATCTTAACATGAAGTCAATGGCACCTGTGCTGACAGATTGAAGACTCAGGTTACATGTAATCAGGTCCACTTTCATGACCTGTAGTTATACACACAGTGGATTGTATTTCATAACATGGACGTATTGTTTCTAAACATGCCCAAAGACAGACCTCTGGACTAATTCAAGAGTTTGCTGGTGAAATAAAACTACTTACTATAGTTTTGACTAACCTTCTAAAGTGTATTTTGGATACTACAGTATGGAGCATTGAAGTTTTATGGTGAACTCAGACCTGTCTTAACATCTCTGTTGTTGCATGTCTGTGAGAACTGTAAACATCACGATGCAAATGGTGTAAATTTTAGTGTTGTAGAGTTTTAGTACACAAGAGTTAATCTGTAATAAATCATAATATGACAACTGGGAAGTCATTCATTTCATTGTTTACCAGAAAAATTTAATCCCTTAAATAAAATATTTAAAATATATATATTCTAACGTCAGTTACGCAGAGATTAGTGTGATATTGTGTGTGACAGTATTAATCTTAGTACTACTTTACTACTATTGATTTTGCTTTCTTAAAGGCATTTTTCAGATACACCACCTACGCTATCATCTGTACGAGGCTGATTTTACACCTGCAGCCCTGGTTTCTAGTCCCCCTCATTTCATGCATTTGTTCATGAGCCCCATAAATAGCAACTCTGGTGTATGACTCATGGTTTGAGCTATTTGAGGTGCATGCTGTGAAAGACAATAATAGAGGGGATTTTTTTGTTTTATACAATGCTTTCAAGTGAAAGGTATGTGAACAAGTCGTGGTCAGCACACTTCGAACATATAAATTCTATTTCCAAAAAGGTTGATACACTAACTTTATTGTTTTGTGAGGTAGTTCTGCAAAAAACTAGGGCAAGGACTGCTCTTGAATATATGTGACCTGATGGAGTATTCATTAAAAAAGACTTCAGAAAAGGAGTCACAACAATAGACAAACAGTCTGCACAGATCAGAACACATTTTGAAACAAATTTATGCAGAAATAAATCCAAGGCTTTCACATACTTTTTTTTCTTTGCAACTGTATCTACCCTGTCTAATTTCACGTTTTTTTCACGTTTTTTGCATTGAATGCAATCTTTATTTTACATTAGCAAAAGCATAAACATCATAATTTAATTCCCGGTTGTCTCCCAGTACTCATGCTAAAGTCAAAGACCAAAGTCAGTCATTTCCTGGATCTTCATTCCAAGAGTCTCCTTTCAGTTCCTTTCTTTTTTCCTTTATCTGCTTGCTTCAATATTTTATTTAGTGTCCTCCATTCATGAATATGCTTCTGGTCTCCCAACTGGAATCATTTTTATGCCATCCTCTTCTTCTCTATGTCTCCACTCCACTGCATTCTGTCTTTCCTCAATTATTACCTAGCACACCCTGCTTTCCGACTTATTCCTTCCTACTCCTCTCCTCTGGCATCTTCCATCCAGAACTGTTTCCCTGATGGAGGTCAGAATGGTCTGCCGTCAGGGGCTGCAGGGGGAGAAAGGCACGGTGAAGAGCATTCAGAGACTGTCACTGCACCGTTTCATAGGCAGGGAGCGAAGGAAGAGGCAGATAGAGCAAGAGAGGACAGTGTAAAGGAGAAAGTGTGTGAGCGAGAGAGAGGGAGGGAGGGAGAGCAAGAGAGAGTGAGCAGGAGAATAAGAGCAAAGCAGGAACGAGGGAGAGAGAGAAAGTGAGAGAGGGAGAGATTGGTCCGGAGCTCACAGCTCACATCGCTGGCTGGCTGGAGCGCTCACTGTTGACGAATGAGCTGTCTACACACCAGGCTGGGAAACGGCAGCTTGTGACAAGCTGGGGAGCAAGGAACATGAATGTAATGCGTACCTTGCCTCGCTTGCTTACAGATACCGGCCAGAAGAAGACCCCCGAAAAGAAGGATGGGAGGCGCATGTCGTTCCAGAGACCCAAAGGCACCATTGAATATTCTGTGAGTAACACACAAACAACTGTGCTGTTTCTGCTGTGATGTTGTTGTTGTTGTTTTAAGCTTTTCTGCTCCCATCCCCTCCGCTGCTGCTGCTCCTGCTCCTGCTGCTTTGGTTCGTCTGTGTGTTCCGTTGCTGATGAGCACCAGTATTATTTCAGCTGAATAAGTTGTTTGTTTATTTGAAGGCACTGTGTCCAACCATGCCTGATAGCTCATTAGTGATGTGTGAAACTCAGTTAGTCTGCCTTATTCTCTGCTGTTTACATTTGGGTGTGTGTGTGTGTGTGTCTGTACACTGGGGTAGATAGAGCTTGGAGAAAGATGATAGAAACAATGAATGCTCTGCCACAGACTCCTTGTGCAGCGGTAAAAACACTTAGCTTCAATGTGCATGTTAATGTAAAGGAACTGTAGCAGCTCCGTGTGGTTCCTTCTGCTGGACTAGAGGAAAACAGAGAGGGATTAGCACTGACAGGACACACATTTGTTTTCCCTGCTCATTCTACATGATGCGCATCGACAAGCATTCCGCCATAGAGGTTACCGTGCTCATGAATGACCTTCCAACTGCGTTGTCATTTCTACTGATATAGCTGTTGTATGGAAGGGAGGGAGGGGGCGTGTAGCTTGTCTCCGCTTTGCTTGGATCTGTTCTTCAAATGACCCTCAAATCCAGCTGCAGTCTGACTGCCTTTTCTTGCCTCTCTCTTTCCGTGGCAACAGTGAGGAGTGGGATGGCAGTGGCTTAGCTCCAAATGTCTGTCTGCCTACCTGTCTGATGAAGAAAGAGAGAGTGTAAATAAAGGGAGGAAGGAGAGACACGAATGAGAGCGGGAGTGAGGAGCTCTTATTGACATTCCGTCTTCTCTTTCCAAACTCCTGCTGTCATTTTCCCCTTATTTTGACAGTGGATTTGCTGTAGAGTCTGCTATAGTGGCTGTCAGCTCCAGAATCTACTGTGGGTTTGTCTGTGATTGGTTCCCTTCCCCCATATTTAACACCTCAGCAACACAGACACAACCTTTACATCAACCGCCTGCCCATGCTGTCAATCATTCAAGACCTGCTGATTGACAGAGCCCCTTGTTTACATTGCTGGGGTGCTGCAATAGAAATGTTTGTCAGAGCCAAAACATAGTTCCAGCCCCGACGTGGACAATAGAGTTCCAGAGAGCGAGCCCAATGGAATGACGTGCAAGTCAAAAATGAAAACAAATAGCCTAAAATACGATGGATAAAAGATGAATGTCTTAATTAAAGCATAGCAGTTTAATTCCTTCCACCCTCCCGGTGGCTGTTAGTGGAGTGGGTGGATTAAGTGCTGCCAATAACTGTGTCCTGTAGCCTGACATGCTGCAACACAACATAGTGAGAAGGCTGAAGTCCAGCAAAAACATATAAGGCAATACAACCAAGCTGCCCAAATACACATGCCTGACAGACAGTGATTGAAAGGCAGCTTTATCTTAAACTCAACTTCTGGACTGGAGAGGACCACGGCACTGTTTGCTTTGTTTTTCTATCAATCTGATAAGTTTATATTTATTGCCTGAAACCTGAAGATAAAAATAAGAGTCCCTCCTTATATTTAATTATCAAACCAATCTGTTGTCCTCTTCCTTCCCTTCATTTCTTTATACTATAGATTTGAGAATTAACCAGAACAGCAATTAAACGTCTTCCTAGCCTGGTCTCCCCAACCTAATCCATCCATTGGCTGACTAGCATCTAATTAAAAAAATGTTTTCAGACTTTTGAAAGAACAAGGACTGATAGTAAAAGCTGACCCGGAAAGAGGCAAAGTTAAGAGGTAAGCCATGCAGTGGGTGGGTTGGCCTGCTTTGTTCCTTCACAGGTGGCATGAGAGGGCGTCCAAGCAAAGTCAAACCAAAGTGAGAGAGAATACAGGCCACACACAATTATCTCCAGACCCAGTGCAACCTCAATACAGACATGCAGCGCTGTGTTAGCTGCTAGTATAAAAAGGTTAATTTAGAAATAAACAAGAAATGAAAGAAGACACTAGAAGGTGACTTAAATGTTTCCCTAAATTTTAATATGCTCAAACATTTATTGTGATCTAACATGTGTTAGATCAGTATTTCTCTCCCCATGGGGGGCAAAAGGGGGGCATGACAGAAAATAATTGAGAACCATTATACTAAAAGTCAGTAATAGCAAACAAGCAGTGAAGCACTTCAACAGTTTGGTTTCTCTGTTTGTTTATAAACTAACTCAAGTGTGGTTTGACGTTGTTAGCTCTTAACATGCCCCATATTAAATGTCCCACTCACCCACAAACTTTATCGGCCTAAATTTTATTTGATCCATTTTCTTCCAGTTAATCCTGGAGGAGGATTAAGTAGCTGGTGCAACAGATATTGGCTAGGATGCCCTCAACAGGTCAACAGCCTACCACAAGAACAACAACAATCTGAAGCACAGCTATTGTTACTCAAGAGTCTCTACATGACATCACCCCAATCTGCATTTGTTTGGTTCAGAAACACACATACAAAGTAACACAACACAGTCAACACAAGGAGACATTAATTGAATGGAAAATTGACCACGGAAACCTTTAGTAGTGAGTGGTATGATCAAATGGTTGTATTATTAAATTACAATCTGCACATGTGACTTTATGTCATATGCATTGGTCCTAGATGTTGGGAGTTGAAAGCAGACATTTCCTGAGATTAAAAAGATTAAGCATTTATTGTCAGCATTCATCTCAATATTAAAAAAAAAAGCATTTCTGAAGCTAACATTTCCATTTTGATAGATTCTTTGTTGTGCAGTCATGTCATCTAGTGGCTCTTCAGCCTGAACTTTCCTACCCACACTAAGTCTGGTGCAGTGCTCTCAACAGACCTGGCACAGCGAATCTCCTGTAACATTAAGTGCAGTGTCAGTAGACAGCACTTTTTAGGAGAAGTGCCGTCTGAATTCTTCTTTGTGGGCTGGTTTGAACATCAATAGAGTAGAAGAGTTTAGTATTTTGGCCAATAAGCCAATGGGAAATCTTTAAAACTTCAGTACAAGTTTGAAAAGGCTTTGCTGTTGGTTCAAATTTACTCTTTATTATGATAAAACATATATTGCTATATATAGGTTGTCCTGTGTCTGACAAACTAACAAAGTACCTTTGTCTTTTAAGTAGACTTAATAATACAGCTGTGACTATTTCAAAATGCCACAAAGAATGATTTTCTGTTTCACAGTTACAAATGTGCTTTTATTAATTGTGTATTTAAACAAACCAATTCTCTCCTTCTCTCAATACACTCCTCTTAAAGGCCCTAGTTTGATTCACATAAGGTTTTGGGTTGTTCTTTTTTTGTTATTAAAGCTAAATGTAATGTTGAAGTCATCCGGTCTTTCGTACATGTGCTTGGTGCTTGTCCACACTTTCTCCTGTATGATCTGGATCTGTCCTGACTGCTCCAGATGTGAAGAAAGAAAAGATTGAGGTTAGAATCAGAGCTGTGGTCCGTCAGTGTTATTTCTGCTGGTTGAGTGAATCTGGGCTGGGATTAGAGGACACGCTGTGGACATCAGAGCAATGCCAGTTGAGTCAGACATAAAGTGAGAGTGAAAAAGGGTATGTGCTCTTACAGAGGAGACACTTTATTTTATTTCAAACAAAGCTTTTCTTAAAAAAGTTAAATTTATCAAATAAAAATAAGGAAAAAGAGGAAAAGATCACCATTGCATATTATCTACACCAACAGTCAGTCACAGGAGCTCTGATTGCATTATTCACTCCAGAGAAGAAGAGGCGATCTTACCTTTTCTGCTTTGAATGATGGGATCACAGCAGTGAGTGGATGTTAGAAAGCGACAGAAGAGGAAGATAGTGAAAACCCTTGGCAGTGTCAAAAGTGTTGGAGCCAAACCACATCTCAAACATGCATAAGCTTCATGAAATGGCTAGCATCTTATTCAGTTGCACCTGTTCAGGTTCCTTCTCTGTTTTTTTTTTTGTTTTTTTTGTTTTTTTTACAATTTCCAATTCACTATCAATAATGTTTGTTTTTCTTTTCTTAACCTTTTCTCCCCAAACCCATTCCTTTTTACATATTTTTCTTTTTAAATGAATGTGAACTGTCATATAAACAGTTTTATCAGAACTGCATTTCCTTGTCATTCATGCATCTTCTATATATATTAAAGCTAGAGCGTTAAAGTTAGAGATGCATTTTTTCCCTCTCCAAAAGCACAGATTAATCTGCTTTTTGTCCCTGTGCTATTCTATATTTAGGCCTGCACAGTGACCAACAAGGACATAGTTATGACAATATACGTGATATTAGGGTAGTAACCACAAAGTCACCATAGCAACTGTCATACTAAAGCTGGATTTCATCCTTGGTTATGAAATTAGAAGTGATAGTTGCACAGATATGGTCTTATGGGTGATTAAACCCAACACTGGAGGTTTATTTCCAGTTTGATGTTTAGATGGCAAATCATTATGTTGATTATGCTTCTGCTCAGTGCTTTTTTTATTTTCTCCTCTCTTTATGTTTTTACATCGAGTTTGCTTCAGTGGACAAAAGGGTCCACATGTATCAACCATTGACCTCTTAATGATTTCCTACTGTATATCTTTTTCACAATCTTAACCCGGAGGTACTAAGATTTTGTATTCTGTCATTTTCAAGATGGCTACCACAGCTGCCTTACACCCTTCTCCTTGAAAGGACAGACCTTAAGAGGAAGAAGGTTAATTATTCATCCCCATTTCTGAATGAATAATGGGAAATATTGATTTCTGGATAATAAGATAGGGTTCACCTGTCATTAGTGGCTATGATACTGATTGGGATTACTCTCTCTGTACCGTTCCCTTCCTCGTGCTACTGTCAATGTGTCAATAACAGGTCTTTTTCAGTGGGTCACATTTGCATGTCCCCTGTCCTCTGCTACTTAAATCAAATTAGGGATGTATCCTTTTACAGTACAATCAATCAGGCCGTGGAGTCATTTTACCTGTGACTGTTAAGTTTGATGTTCTGCTGTGTAATGCCTGCATTGTGTGCTTATAAAATCAGTTACAAAATGGCTATAGCAACGCTGATGTCAACATACACTGGATATTCTACCCCTATATTCCAGGTTTACAGAGTAAAAACAACACAGGACTGGCTCAGCAGCCATAAATCTTGTGTAAACTTGGGGATCATGTAGGTTGGCTTTGTGCTGAGCAACGGAGGAGCTGTAAAGCTAAAAATAAATAGGTCACGGATGAGATGGTAGCAAATAGCACCACAGGAGAATCGATGCTCTGTGCTGAACCCGACCAGATGAAAGGCTCTGACACTGTGAAAGTCATAGGTGATTATTAACTCTTTATCTTCTTAACAATAGTAAACAGAATTAAACTCTTGATTCTGAAATTGCAGTTTTGAACTTTGTAGTACACCATACAGAGACGTGATGAGGGACATACATTCACCTTAATGTTCTGTGTTATACATTGTTATTGTTATTATTGTAAATATAATTTAATTTTTGCATTATTGGTAAATCAAAAGACTTTCAAGTATAGACCTGATACTAAGGTGACATAAATGTGTCAACCTAATAGTCAGGTTTAACACATTTTCAACCAAGAGTTAAGTTTATAAACTTGCCTCAGACTAAATAGTAATTAACTAATAATTTGTAAACAGGCCATTGGCACAGGTTTGATAAATCCCTTTGCAGCAACACTACAGCGATAAAAACACAAGCATATGTACTTTAGTCACCTACGTAGATAGCATGTCTTTCATAGGACACATTGTTTTTTGTTTTTTTTTTGTCATATCTCATCTGTTTTTCCTCCTAATTGTCTCTGGAAGCTATTTTATTTTCTTTTCTGCAGAAAGTTTTGGTCGGATTTCACCTGGACACCTCAATTTACCATCTGTTCATTCTCTGGTTGCTGTGCAACTTTTTTTTTATATGATGAAAACTTTGATTGAGTGAATAAATCTGCTGTGATAATAAGACAGCGGGATTCTCAAGGTATCAAATAGCATTTTGAAATATGAAGGTTGCTTTCTAATTTGATTTTCCTGGACAAGATGATTGAGTTAACATTTAATCAATCTGGACGATCAAATCTGTTTAACAAACTGCTGTTATCGTGTATCTGGCCTTTAACCCTTCAAGGAGACACATCTGTGGAGCAGCTAAAAATAGATTTTTACAATTAAACAGTAATCCGAGGATTTGATGTTTCATTTTTTACACATTTGAAAACAAAAATGATCTGATTTGTTGTTTGTTCATTATCTCAATAGCTGAAAAGAAGCCCTGCATAAACGTTTGTCTGACCACTAGTTACATTCATAGTAGAGATATGGGAGAGATTTAAAGTATAAATAATTCTATTAGATATTGAACTGGTGACACAAACATTTAGTTTTTCTTCTTCTTTTTTTTTGCATCCATATATCTGTCAAATATATATTTTGTTTGTGGAAATAAGAGCATATGCACAGCTAAAGCTAAACTCAGTAACGTTAGATATAACCTGAAAATATAGCAGCAACCACGCAGTTGTTAGTAGAGGATCCAGAACTTTTCAAGCAAAAAAAAAAAAAAGTCAAGTTGACATACTTCTACAACAACTTTAAAACTGATTTTGCATTTTATGCAAAAGATTTGCAAATAATTTCACTATTTGTATGGCTGAGAGCTGCAGAACTGATTAAATGACAAGCTGTATGGTGGAGGAACAGTGGTACTGGAGTTCTGTCTTTATAAAAAACCTAAATGCTTGTATTAAAACAAATATTGCAAACTAGTGCAGCCCAAAACAAAACAGTAGCTCCACACATTACCCAAAGTGATCCAAAATACCTCAAAAATGATATGCAGATTTAAAAACAGAGCATAGAAACCAATCTTACTCTTATTCTGCTGATATTTTTTTCATTTGACATTGTTTTAAAACTCTGTCCTTTAGACACTCTTGGTGTAGGTGGAATCTTCTTGTTAGTGTACTAGTTCTTTGCCTGGATCCAGTTAGATGTTAGGCCAAATAAAAATAGCTGGTATTGTTATCAAATACTGTGACTACAGTGAGGTACAGGCAAATTTTATGCTGAATTTCCAACACATGTATTTGAATCAAATCCAAGTGCACTACATCGCCAACATGCCCCAGGTCTTTCTGCAGGGCTTTTAGTGAATGTGAATATTTACCCTTTTTAGGATTTTCATTGTCATACATGAGTAACTGCACAAGGAAAAGTGTCTGTACTAGGAAGACGTCTCATCCATAACATCGGAAGTACCGTCTTGTCAAACCTAAGTTTAGGGTTAACAGGCAAAGTCACAATTCAAATATGTGTGCAATTCACTGAGTTTTATTTGGTTAATTCTTGAAGTGAGAAATCGTACGAATGGTCCTCTATGGTACTGTGTGTTCTCTGAAATCAGGCACCGTTTGTGTTTCCCACTGGATCCCAACCTTTGTTCAGAACTCTTGTTCCTTTCCTAGAAATCTTTTACCTAGAACTAGTGTTCAAACAAGTTCAAAGTACTGTATGTTAAGAAAAGCAGCTCCTATGAGTTATCCAAATTATTCTGTAGAAACAATGTTAGAAATGTTATTTTCCACAAATGTCTCTGTAAATTGAACTTTGCGGCAATTCTTTCAGCCAGTGTCCCTACAATGGAGAAAGAACAGAGGTGATGGTACTGTCCCTAACATTAGAGGTGCAGTTAGAAGTGATTTGTTTATGTTTCCATGCTGAAACAGTCCATAATCAGTGTATGGGCTTGTTTAACATTCACACACACCATGTGTCACACCATGTCGTGTCATCTCAGACAGCTGGCCACCGAGTTAGTCCTGGTTCCTCTTTTTCATCTTCCTATCTGCAAATCTGCTGCAAGAATATTTTGCTGGAAATAATCCATCATGTTTGGACTTCAGAGAGGAGAGCACATGCGTAGAGAGGGAGGGAGGAAGGGAGAGAGGGAGAAAGAGATAGAAGGGAAGGTCGGCTTGTCCCATGACTGCTGCACAAACACACAGTGCTATTATCCTGTCCTAATTATGCACAGCTCAGCGTCGACTCGACTTCTCAGGTTCTCAGGGGTTCTGTCCTTTGAGAACCTTTTTCTTTCCATTTCCATTAAGTCTTACTGCACATACACTCTTCCTCACAAGGTTGTCAGCACATTTTGGTTTATGGAAACTCCCGCCATGCAGGTTAGACGCTTAACTGGTTGAGACACATGGAGCACATCTCTGTTGTATAACCTGTAACTGGTGGAGACAGGCAGAAGCACCTGTGTCTCACTGCAGAGAGCTGCACCTGAGGACACGGTGCAGACACAGTGGCAGCAACACTGCACACAAGAACATGAAGTGATTTTTGCATCTTTCGATGTGTTTAAGCTTTGGAGGATGTAAATGAAAGGACTTGGTTTGTAATATAGCATAATCAACACCAGCATTTAAAGGCTGTTGCTGCAGGTGTTAATTAAAGTCGATCTTTCTCGTCTCGAGGATTATTTGCCTAAATTATTTTTATAAGTGGTAGGAAAACCACTTTTAACACAAAGCAAATTTATGTTGAAGCATGTTCTAATTTTCAAGACTGAATCTAAACTACAATATCTGACCCAAAAAGTTGTCTAGATAAATTTTAAAAAGTTTAAAAACGAACGGTAATGAAAAACAAACAAAGTAATGGACATTTAACAGTATAGTATATGATTATAGTATAATCATATGTAAAACTGTGCCCGGACAACACTAAATACATCAATAACAATATTTCCTATTAAACAGACATAAAATAACAGTTGATCCAGGCATTTTTCATGTGTTATTTCCTATTTACTTTTTCTCTGGTCTTATATCCAGTCCAAAGCTGAACTATAGCACACTTGTGATTTCTATGTCCTTTCCTTTGTACTCTAGGTGGAATCACGGGACACACTGAACAGCATTGCCCTGAAGTTCGACACCACACCCAACGAGCTGGTTCAGCTGAACAAGCTGTTCTCCAGAGCAGTGGTGCCCGGTCAGGTACGAACTCCTTCACTCGTGGTTCAGGTCCTTGCCCTGTCCTACCACATTATCACATCTACACAGACACGCTCACTGCCAACTTGCACTCATCAGTCACTGTCACTGGTTTGACTTCCTCACATCAGTAACAACCAGTTGGTTCTGTTTTTAATTGTAATGCTTTTATGCTCACTCTCATTCTGTTTGTGTGTGTGCTGACTCACTCCCCCCATCTGTGCAGCCTATTAATTGCCTGCTAATTACAGCGTCACTTGTTCCATTAGAAACCAATTTTGTTACAGAAAGCTCCACTTTGTTTCTAAAAGGTATAATAACACATGTCAGGGCGAGCCCAACTTTTTTTAACAGGGCCAGATTTGATCAGCTAAAAACACCCGGAGGGTAAACTGCTCTTCCTGTGATACTTAAGACTATAATTAAGTGTCAGTCTGATGCACCGCCTTTTCACAGTTTTATTTAGAGCATAACAAATGGATTTGCCTAGTAGCATATTTATACCCCAACTATAAAGTTTCTGAAAGATTTATACAAAACACTGTAGCCTCAGCTACAGTTTTATCGAAACAAAAATAGACTAAGGATAAGAAATTGTCTGAAATATATAGTAGAATAATATAGTAGTATAATCCTTTAAAAATATCTTATTATAAGGATTATCGAAATGTTAACGGCAATTGCTTAAAGAGTCTCTAACAAAATAAATTGTTATAAGCTAAATATAGCATTCACATTTATAAAAGTAAATAAAAATGCCTAAACATTAGCCAGAAAGACAGCTAACAGTTAACTTATAAATAGGGGTAACCGGATGCTATATGAAAATAGACTAATTCATTATGGTAATGTCAGTTGAAAAAGGCTTGTTAAATAATGTGCGCCCCACAAAAAAAAACAGTCCTTGTTTGATACTTGTATCGTTTGTGCCCAGGCTGACTTTGTACATATGCGATGCATGTATTCTCCTTTAAAGGCTGTATTTCCAACAATGTGTCAGAAGATCCCCATCCTAACCCAACGGAGACACTGCCAACTTTCCTGGCTCCTGTCCTGCTTCCCATTACTCACTTCCATTTCAGCCTCAGATCCTCAGTTGAAATCTGTTTTTCTGGTACAGCAGAAAATTCCAAACTCCCAAAATAATATTTTGTCACTGTATTTCCTGGCATCAGTATTAAATCCAGATGATTTGGGCCAAGCCTCATTCTGCCAACCAGCTGGCATCTTTTACTCATGAACAACACGGCTCTTAGCATCAATGTTGGATTGAGCTGTGTCCAAACAGTCGGGCGTAGAGAGCAATGACTGAACCGTCATGTCTGGACCTTGTCCCATGTCCTTCGACAAAAACAGTCATTTTTGTGCATCATCATCATCGTCATATTACAACAACCTGTGCAGAAAAAAATGCAAAAACAAAAGTCTAATTAGGTGATGTACCTGAAGCTTTATGTACTACTCTTTTCTCTGAATATGACTGTTTCTTTAAACATAAATACATTTAGAAATGGTTAGATTTTAGGTTAGGTGTGATGTGAAGTACAATGTTCACATTGTACTTCACATCACCCATGCAAAAATAACTATCTAAGAAAATAAATATTGATTGTAGCATCAAGAGGATTCACTGAACACTTGGACTCTGTTTGGAAATGAAGAACCCGGGGCAGTTTTATTACTATGCAAATACAAGAGCTGCATTTGCATAATACAGTTATTTGTCATGCACTGTTTCATGTGAAAACAGTTTACTTAAGAAGCCCTGACAACATGTGCCCATGTACATCATAGTAGCATGGTCAGTTTCTAATCCAACACTCACCAAGGGCTTGGAGGTCATGCATATTTAACAGTGGCTTTGGCCTTATCGAGTTAAAGTGAAAAGTTAAAAAAAAGAGTATTTAGTCAACATGCTCCTTTAGTTAAACCTAATCTAGACTGAGTTTTTAAATTACTTTGCCTCTTTCCCAACTGTTTTATGAATTTTAATAATAGAATTTGGCGTACCCAAGACCCCAGAGCCCCTAAACAGATGTTTTCCTTGATTTCCAGACTACAGCTACAGCAGGTGTAGAAAGTTTTCTGCAAATAGAGTTTTTACTCATTCTCAGACTCAGAGGTTGAGATCGATAGCACTCTGATGTTTTTGAATGAATAAGAAGCTGGAGTCAGGATATGGTCAGCTGAATTTAGCATTAAGAGTGGAAACAGGAGGAAATAGCTCAGCGATCTGCAGACTACACTCTGAGGTTAGACAAGATAAAACCTAATGATTAATGAGCAGGACAGGGATGAGCAGAGTTTGTTCATCAACATCAGAGTTGGTTCATCAGCAGAACCATAGCTGCCCCTTACCTAACACAGTCATACACATCCTCTTAGAAGGACAACAGAAAGAACTCTTCTTCTCCCTCCTGGAACAAACATCCTTTTAATAGCTAGTGAATCCCCCAACTCTAACCCAGCATTACATAACTGAGGAACTAATCGCTGACACACCAACCCATCATCAAAGACATGTGATAAATAATTGATTATTGGAATTGAAAGTAACTAGAAAATATTAATTTACTAATCTTTTGTGTTAATATAAACGCAATTGAGACCAAAATCCTAAACATAAAAACATTTTCTTCAAACAAAATTATAGTTAAAAAAAAACCTATAACACTACCTTGACCAAGTTTTCCTATGTTATGCTCTCAGAGTTTCCAGTTTTGAGTGTGATTTTAAGTGAGCAGTGTTTAAGTTCAGCTATGGCTTCTAAACTTGAGAACTGCAAAACTGGTGTTGCCCTATTATCCACTAGAACTGATTAAACAAACTTGCCTCTTAAGGAACCAATTCATGTTGCAGAGTATCTGCAAGGATGTTTTGATTGTGAAGATGTTATGAAAAAAAACCTTTGAGTTAGCTTTGTACCTCAAAAGTACTTTTGCAACACGTATGATCACTTGGTATGTGATCGGTTTTGGGTATATGGATGTGTTCTCTATTAGCTGTATTTGATTGACTACTGTAGGATGACAGGAATTTGTTGACAACAGATTTCTAATTTACAACTAGATTAAATGAACACAAAGACCTATGAAATCCAGTGCCTAATAGAAAAATGGGTCACAACTGAATGGTTCTGGTGAAACATGGATAAGGTTTCATTGATTGAAAACCACCACTGTCTGTATTTACACTTGATCAAACACTCAGATAACCTGTGCTCATCATTGCTCATGCTTACTTGTTGACTTTACCATGATGTTTGTGACTTTCCTTCGGTCTTTTTGACCCTGTGGTGTCATGTTATTTGTCTTTGTTAAACACATGGTCTGACTGCGTTTGTGTGTTTGACAAAGATTCTCTTTATGTCCTCCGGTGTGTGTGCCCATGTGGTGTTTGTGCGTGTGTGTGTTTACACTGTGGCAGCGCCTGTGTAAATACAAACTGAACTGTGTTTGCAGGTTCTGTACGTTCCTGATCCTGAGTACGTCTCCAGTGTTGGAAGCTCCCCTTCCCTCAGTCCCATCAGCCCTCTGTCTCCCACCTCCTCAGAAGCTGATTTAGAGAAAGTGACGGTATGTTGACCACAACTCTGACGCACAATATAATTGACTCAGTAAATCCCAAAGTACACTCACCTGCTGCAAGTGCTGTGTTGTTGCTATGAAACTTGACATTATCCAGTCGCCTTCATCTCTACTCTCTACTATCTAATACAAATATATGCTGTTAAAGTGACACAGGACCTTTGAGATCACTTTGATAAGTAAGGTAAGAAAGTCCTGCTGGGAAAACATGGCTACCAGTGCTAGTTCTGTGGCTGTTGTCTGTATAAGTGAGAGTAATTCGTGTACCCTAGAAATGTACTACTGTATTTGAGTAAGAAAGATTTAGGGATGATTCATGGGTTGATGGTGTTTTCATTTTGCATTATCCTCACTGGATTTTAGTAGCTGTGCAATAGTAGGCAGCTATTGTAAGCACGAATGACTGGAGTCTCTAGAAATGGGTACTGGTGCTAATGAGGGATGCAGCACCTTGTGGTTAAAACACAGCTTATGATTTTTATTTTTAGTAAACAGCCTCAGACAAACAAAAATGTGTTTGTGCAGAAACAATTTTGGAAAATTCTAAATGCTCCATTCACAGTAGATGCCCACATGCTAAAGATTCACCATTATGTCAATACCAGCATCTTTATTTAAATGATATAATTTGTGGAAGCTCCCTGTCAGTGAGGTGGCTGATATTGAATTGTCCTCCGACAACCAATTTGCTTTAGTTTAATATAAATATAATCGTTGGACTCTGATCAAGATAGAGTGGCTCACATACAGAGAAACACACTCGCAGACAACCAGCTCAACAGTAACATAGTCTGTCACCACTTTATTTTAATGCACTCCATGTACACCGTTCATGATTTATACTTCATTTACTAATGTAGGGTTTTACAACTTTGTAGTCTTAAAAATTTACATCCATGGTTTAATGTGGTGTGACGCTGACTCAAGGACAGAAAAGGAAAGAAGAGGTAGTAATAAATCCCAACCTGTGTCTCCTCAGGACAGGACAGGATAGGACAGAAGATGCTCATATGGACTGTATTTATTAAAGACTGTCAAATGTATGATTAGTTATAGTAACACAGTGGGAAGAATATTAAAACATCATACAAAAAATGTCCTTGATTACGTAGTGAAAAACGAAAAAAGATGTACCAAAGTACTGCATATGTGTTTTCAGCCATAAAATTACCCAATAGAAAAACACCTTCTCCTGTACAGGATGACACAAATCATATTGGTATATAAATACTTTTATATAGTAAATTCACATTCACATGTTTTTTTATTTTACTTCTAACTATCTTTAAACTTGACTATAATCTGTAAGATCGGAGTGCATTACTGTATCTATTTCTAATGTTTTCTCAGCAGGATTTCAGCATCACCAGCCATGGCTCATTACTGGCTGGTCTGCATGTTTGCTAGTTTTTCATTTCCATTTGAAGTTTTCAGTATCTCTTTCCAGTCACCAAACACCTTATTTTAAAAGTTGTGGGACTGAAGAAAGAAACTGTGACTATGTAGTTGTGGGAAATATTTCATAACTATCTGTTATAATACTAAAATTATACACTGAAGAACCTGCCGCGTCACTAATGTAAAACCACTTGTTTTGCTATATGTCACATGTGTCTGCAACACCTTCAAACTGTACAAATTCTGTCCTCCTCATCACTCTCAGCACAAGCATCCCTCAGGTGCTGAGTCTCCAGCACCTGAACGAGCCCATCATTAGGCACGGCAGTGGTCTCTTAAGAAAAATGTCTCCATGGAAACGGACAAATTGTTTTGCCACCTTAGCGAGAAAATGGATTCTGCTGTCTCTTTGTCACCATCACTCTCACGGCTGCTGGACATGAGTTTAGACAGCCTCCCACCAAAAGCCATTATCCAGAATGAAGGGCTATGTTCTCTAACTGCCTGTTTGTGAGCAGGGCCACATTTGTGGCTTTAAACTGGAAGTATCTGTGACTGCAGGGAAATTAGGCCTTTAAAAGTGATGCTGATGTGTAATATTTAGAGCAACTAATGAACAGAGATGCTTTCTCTCTAAAACAAGCAGCCAGGCAGCAATTATCAGGCAGGAGGAAGTGAGCTTGGAAGGCAGAAAGGGAAAGGGAACATTACCTCAGCCGATGTGTCAACTCTAGATGTGTTTGTGGAGGCGCTGTGTGTGTGTGTGTGTGTGTGTCTGTGTGTGTTACCCCAACTCTTTCTTCTCTTTGTGTTACAAGATATCAGAATAAAAAAGAGAGCAGCTTGCAGGTGCTGGTTTGATTTTTAAACCACAGGAAAGACTTTAATAACTCTCCCTGCTCCTCTTTATTTTTATTCCTTCTCCAGAATCCCCAGCATCTTTTAATTATGGGCCTATTTTGGTGCTGCGCACACTCGTCTCCATGAGGATATTATCCAAAATAAATGGCTCTGGGAGGTGAAAAGCAATAGCAATGCAACCGGCAAAGAGCTACTACAGTTTTCAATGTGATGATTGCTTTATCGAAAAGCTGCTTTCAGGGACTTCAGTTTGGATTCCAAAAGATTAAATTCTCCCATAGCACCTGATGTTTAAAAATATCAGGTCATTAAAATGGACTCAAAAATAATTAAAGCCTTTTAACTAACCAATACCTCCATAATTAATTTTGCACAAAAACTGAAATCCAAGTTGTGTCTTGTGTGTTTTAATTGAAACCTTGTGGAGACATTAAGAAATCATATAACATAATAAACCATAGAAAATACATAGTAGTTATAATTACTGCTCCTCTAGAATGATCAGGGTTTATTTTTGAAGGGTTGATAATGGCCACAGCTGTTCCAGAGTGTCACTCGGCCCACTGTGGTTGAACCATCTTTGGTTGATAATGTGGCAGAGACCGGTCATTTCTGATAATACTATATGTGATGTCACTAGTAGTAGGTTTTAGTGGCCAAATTGGCCCGTGTGGTAGGACATGGTGCGGTCACCATTTGGACCACTGTCAAAAAAATATCACCTGCTATCAACCATTTGAAAACAGACATAAATGTGCTTCCCATAAATACTTCACTGCTATATCCTCATTGAATATGGGTTTTTGGAAAGGAATTGAGACAAACACTAGTATAATTTTAACTTGCATATTTGAACTGATAGTTTTACTGAAAAGCTGTAAACAGCTGTCTTTTTGACAGAATGAAAATTGCCCCTCAATGAATCTCATCATGCACAAGTAAAGGAGACAATATTTGGTTTCAGATGCCTAAACACATAAAAACTCAACTATGACCGTAATACTCGTGTAGAACAGTACCTGTAGATCTCCTCAAATACTAGATGTTGATTCATAAGGGTAAGAACTATTTGTCTGAATTACTCAAGGTCTACTTATACTGCTCAAAAATAATCCATACTCAACAATATTATTATGACATACAGACTCTTAAGTGAAGGGCTTCTCTGATAGCAACCTTCAGGTTTAGCATTGAAAGGTCACGTGCATGTCTTTAGCTTCACACTTGAATTTTTGTTTAGAAACTCAGCTGGTAAACAGCATTATTAAAATGTAATTATAGCTTTTACAGAGGGTGTAATCCTTGACTGATGATGCCGAGTGTCTTTATCATGGATGTTAGGGGGAAAAAACACTGCTCTGAAGTGTCCGTACTCTTGTTTTAGGCTGCTGGTGAGCTGGTATTGTCAGGGGGAAAAAGTTGAACTTCCAGGCAAAAAGCCTTTGACTGTAAATGCATTGACTGCTAAACAAATGATCACAAATATCACAAATAATCATCATCCATGTGCTAAAATCCTCACTCTGAAATTTCAGGTCTCACCTTTTTGTTTTTGTTTTTTAAAAAAAACATTGTCTCAGTGACTGTGATAGTTCTGCTTTATTATTTTGCCATATTTGAAATCTTATAGACTCAGTGGCACTGGCTGATTATAGCCACAAGGTGGTGCTGTGAATCGATTTGCTTTCTTCATATGTCAGTGTCAAGGTCAAAGCTGAATAACAGCTGTAAGCTTTCTCTTTAAATGCACTCATATTCTATACTGAAGCTTGATGATGTTCTTTTTAGAGATCAAATAGTTCTTTGTCTCTACTGTACTGTGCTATCACTGTATCCTGGACACTTCTTTACAGCCTAAATTGCTCTCAACAATTCTCTTCCATTTAACGTAGAAATGAATAGAAACACATTAAAAGGCTAAAGACAAATTGATTTTTGTCAAATGTTACACCTATCTCTTACTGCCAGCAGCTGCTTTGTCTATACATTGGATTGCTGTGATGCTGTCCTCCCAGAATCCTCAGGGGCAGTCCGCACATTGTGGCTGCACTGAGCCTTGTTTCCTACCCCCCAGCAGTTCTCACTCTTCTCTCTACACCTCAGCACTTCTCCTCCCTGAACAAGCCATTGCAATACTCAGTTGTCCTGCCTCTCCCTCCCCCCGCCGTGGATCATCACTCCCCCACCGCACAGCAGCGCTTTCATCTTTGGATTTGAGTGCACTAGTAATTCCACCACGCTGCCACCATGCTCTATCGTGCTCACTCTTTGATGTTGTACTTTCACACTTTCCCAAGATCTAGTTTCTAACACTCTGGATGGAATCTCTCATTTAGGGACTCTCGACGAGTTGGGGCTAACCTTGTTTGGGCTCAAATAGAGTGTTTTTCTTTCACTGAATGACTGGTTCGCAACACTTCTTCACAGGTTTCCATTTGTTTTTCTTTGGAGAGTGAAAGGTCAGTGACTGACTTGTAAATACAGACACAGGCCTTTTCAGCATTTTTTTTTCACAGCTTTTTCAAAGCAACACTGCAGGACAAACAGTGGTTTTATATACAGTACATGAGGTCAACGAAACATCACATAAAATACATGAAAAGGTGCAGCTTAGGAGACAGCTGTATTTTTAAATGTAAATTTAATTAGACACTAGCTAATAAATGACTTTGCTCTTAGACAGTTTTCCTGTCCTTCTTATCAACAATCCAGTTTCTTTGGCCCCAGTA